AGAGAAAAATTATTAGAATAATCAGCACAAGAGATAGAGAGAAAAGAAATTCTATGATAGAGAGACTACAAGATTTGGGGTGTTTCTTATCTTTTGCTGGTGTTTGTATAAAAGGAGGCAGAAAGGAGAAAAGGAGAGAGCATTATGAGTGGAGCGAATGAGAGGCATGACAGCTTCAAGAAAATATCTTACAAGGCTTGATTGTGATCCTCCACTTGATTGGGGCGTGTGGTTTTGAAGAGTGGGTGTGGTGCTTATTTTCTTTAATTGTTGGGTCATAGTCATACAATATGGTAGGGTATTTTAACTCGAACAACGGTTGAAATTAACAAATTTTAGGTAAAATAGACAAGGATGCGGTTTATATGGAGCCAAGCTCCACACAATCAAAGTAAAGCACATCGCCAAATAGTATTGAGAAATGTGGTTTTAATATTAAAAATCTTTATGATAGCCTTAAAATATATTTTTATCTTTAATTATAAAGTTTAAAGCTTCAAAAATAATATAGATCGAGCATATCAATGAAAACTTGAAAATCTTGAAAATTGATGGTCCAAAAATGAGCTACAAAATGCACTATTTCCAAAATTTGAAATCTATTTGTTTCTCATGTCCGTGGATCTTGATGTCGATATGATCAATTTGAGGATATTTAGATATCAAAACAACATCTTCTAGTGAAATTTTTTAAGTGGGCTTTAATTTGATTGTTTGGAGCCTCGGCTCTATATAAGCCTTTTCCAATAAACAATGGTACCTGTTCATAGAACATTTTAAAACGGCCGTAAATATCAAATTTGAGGTAAAATAGACAGTCGTACCTGTTTATATTATATTTGAATTTGAACAACTCCGCAGATTGTCTCAAGCCCATGAAGGAAGACTGGGGACTACTGTTCGTCACTCAATAGTCGCTATTGACTTTTATTAGAGGAATGAATGAATCCAACTTGTCCACCGTTGACATCAAAGACCATCGAATTAGTCAGTTCATAGAAAAATCCCTAAAAATTGTAAAATAGTAGTTTTTAGGTTTTGAAAAAGTTTGGGGTTGTTATATTATGTACTTTTGTTATTTTAATACAAATAGGTGAATATTGATATGTTGTTTCTCTATCTAGATATCTCTATAGTAATTGATTATTATATAATATTATGAATTGCAATAAACATGATTAAAAAAAATACTAAAAAACACTTTTATATTATAAGATTAAAATAAATTATAACCTTTATAAAATAAAATTAGTATCACATCAAACATTTGTTAGTTCTATCTATTCATCTAAAATAATCAAAACCTAACAAACTATAATACTCTATACTAAAATTAGAATGATTACTTCATATTTTATTATTAATTTACTATACAAATAAGAATAAATTTAAATTATCTTAAAATATCATC